CTCTTCCAACTCGGAGCAAAATGCCGCCCTCATACTCCTGGGAAGACTTGCACACGGCAGAGAAGCACCCCAACAAAATAGGGTTGTCAAGGGGTGGGCCTGAGTGCAGTGTCAGCCCCCCGGCACACAACCCAAACTAGAAACCAGTTAGTTCCAAGCTGCTTGGGCGCGGGTGACAGCGTCGCCGCCGCCGCCTCCTGCTGCTCAGAGTCCGAGGAGTTACTTCTCGCCTGCGGGAGGCTGGGAAGCACCAGGGGTTGCCGACCCTTGGGACACTCCCCGCAAGCTCCTGCCCTTTACCTGTGTACCGGCCTCGGTGGGGGACTCCAGGGCGCAGCACCGGGATCGGTGTCCCGGACGGGCCCGGCGGGAGGTGCCGTGGGGATCTCGGCCGCCGCTCTCCCTTGCAGCTCCGGGCCTGCAGGACGGCTATTTATTCGGGGGCCCGGTCCGGGCCCCGGCCCCTACCGGAGTATTGGGCAATCGGTCCCGCTACGCGCTGCCCCAGGAGCCGCCGCCCTCTGCCCCCGCCGAGCCCCGCAGCGGCCGCGGCCACATGGAGGGAGGGAGCCGGCCCCCTCTTCTGGGCTCCACCTTCTCTCTCTCCTCCTCCTCCTCGAGGAGCTATTCCCTGTGTTTCCCACCCCTTCTCACTGTCTTCTTTTTCGGGGCACCCTGGCCAGTCTGAACCGGTTATGACTGCGCGGGTGGCTGGGGGAGGAGGAGGAGGCGAAGGAGATGGAGGTGGAAGAGCGGGCGGTAGGGGCGCTGCTCAAGCTCTCGCGGCTCTGAGCCGCGCCGGGCCAAGTCGGCCAGGAGGAGGAAGGGCACTGCCCGGGCTCCAGCCCGGGCCCGGCCGGGAGCCATCGAGTCAGCAGGAGAGCTTGGCACCACCCGCCAGCCGCCCTCCCCAAGCGCATAGGCGCGCGACGCCGGGAGCCGACGGCTGCCGGCCAAGGACTGTGCGCGTTTGCAGGGAGCCGGGGTCTAGGGATGTGTGCGAGTTGCCCCTGGTCTTCCAGGCTCCTGGGGCCGCTGGGCGCCCTTCTATCCGGAGCTGTAGACCCAGCTGGCAGTGATCGCAGAGAAGCGGGCACCAGAACTCTGGAGTCGGTGCTTCTGGGCCATGAAGCGTGAGGATGCCAGTGGCTGTCCTTTGTGACAGCTCCACGAAAAGGAGGGTGCCTCCGCAGTGCGCACAGCGTGCCGAGGGAGAGAGGCTGCTTCTAAGGAGGTTCCGTCTGTCCTGAATGAAGGTGAACTGCACTAACAATACACTCCTATCTTTGGCTGAAAGGTAATGGGCATGGTTGCTGAAATGGATGTGTGCTGCCTCCCCAGAGTCGCGGCAGCAGAATGGGGACAGTCCATTAGTTATCGGGCTCACCAGGTGTGTGAACCCTCTAAAGTAATATGCACTTTTTCGTTTCCTGTGTGTGTGGACGTATTTTTGGAAAGGTGCTCCATACCTTCTACTAGCTTTTCAAAGGGGGCTAGGGTGGTCCATCACCGGGATGAGAATTTCCTTATACACTGAACGCTCTGTTCAGCCCTGACTTACACAAAGACCCTACACCTTGCAAAGGGTAGGTTTGTTTCTGAAGTCCAGATTAAGCTGCCTAACCTTCCTGAGCTTCCTTTTCCTCATGTTGCCTGCATCAGGGATCCAGTCTATGTGAGATGAGAATTATTCAAAAACCAAACCAAAACAAAACAAAAAACTCTTTGGACCCTGGCGACACATGCCGAGTTTTCTTATCGATATGAAAACAGTAGTCAATCCCTTTGCTCCCACGCCATTCGGTTCTACCCAATTTCCTGACTTAACACATTACGGGGAAGAAAATGGGAAGTGCTAGCTGATGTTATTTTGTTTTGCCCTGAGAGGGAGAAAGATTAGGGAAAAATTAATAACAGTGAGAATAAGAGAGATGTGGTCCCAGGAATAGCTTCTGGAAGGAAATATGGACAGGTAATGCTATCAACACCATCAAAAATTTATTCCTGAAAAGAGGAACTTCTCAACATGTTCTAATTTTGAACATAATGGTTACTCAAATGGTTGTGGTCACTCATGTGTGTTCACTTTGTAATAATGCATTGACCTCTACACTGATCATTTGTGTACTTTGCTCTATATGTTTCAATAAAAGATATTTTTAGAGAGTTTTTTCTTATTCAAATACCCCCTAGTCACCAACCTCTTGATAGTTGGTCAAACCAATCAATGTATATGAAGTTATATTTGGGGGACAAGGAAACCCTACTTGAAAAATATTTGCATTCACCAATTGTTTTCTGAAGTTGCCATGTCTCTGTTCTTATCTCCACCAAATTTTCCTAGATTTCTTTTAAAGAGAGCGTATGATCAGCATTCCATGTCTGCTCGGGCCATTCCACGCCTACCAACTAAGAACTGAAAATGAGCTTATCCTTACACACAGCATGGACCAACTTTAGTGTAGAGTCGCCTGCATCCCACAGGTCAAAAACTCAAATGGTTGGCTGGGGGTCCAGACTCAGAGTCCTGAATGAAGTAGGCAGAGGACAGCCAGAGAACTTAGGAAGCATGGAAGCTTGCTTTGGAGCAAGTGGCCACTTGGTTTAGGGCATTGCTGCCAGGCTGGAAAGTGAAAATTGCCCCCATCGCCTGGTGAAGGTTCATTGTTCAGTCACACCTCAGCAGAACTCAGAAATCTAACCCAGCCCTGATGCTTTACCTATGAATGGACTTTGACCCAGAGAAGCTAAGGAGGTGCCTGATCACCTCCCAGAGCAGAATGGGGTGGGGAGCAGGTTTGCAAAGAGTAGACAAAAACTACCTCCCTCCTAGCATCCAGAGTGTTCAGCCCCAGTGACAAGAAGATGCAAGATCTGCTTGCAAGATAAGAGTCAGATCCATTCAGTATCACTGGCTTTACAGCTCTGTGTAGCCCCTGCCCTTTGGGTCTCTCATGGGGCCATAAGTCGATGTATATTCAGCAGGATGAAGCGAGAGAAAAGGACAGGTCATTAAATAAGCTGGATTTAAATGAACCTCCCTTGGGAAGAAAGAAACCTGAGGGAAAACCTTTAAAGAAAAATTAATACAGAGGTGATGCCCTGAACAAAGGAGTTTGTTCTTTGCCTTGTATTATTATCATAGGGCATTTATTAAGGAGTTTGTGATTTGTGAATTCTAAGTTCACCCTTTCTTAGAATACTTGCTGCCTTAATCTTTCAGCGAATAAGATGGAGAAATTAACCTGAAAGTGCTCTGTGGTCCTCATCCCAGCAGAAACAGAGGACAGAGGAAGGCATGAGCTGGTCATGGGAGGGTGGGTCATTTGCATAACACCTGGGTCACTGGTCCAGCGCCTGCCCAGCTGACCAGGCTTTCTTTCCTGACTTATTACACCAGGGTAGGTTTCTTTTCTTTTGTACACACTGTTCTTATCCTGTTTATGAATGACAGCATAGCTACATAGGCACTACACTTTGAACTAAAGAAAATAGAATTTAGAGTTTTTATAACTGCTCAGAGATCTAAAGATTATTCTATTAATTCCATTTCTTTCGTTGACATTCTAACAGATAAAGGATCAGAAAACAATAGAAGTGGATAAATCATTCCCCCTGATGCTTGTAGAGCTTTCGTGGAAAAGGACAAGTTTTCAAATGTTAAAACTGACCTTTGTTGTTATGACCGTGCCATTGAGTTGGCTCTGACTCCTGGCAACCCGAGGAATGAGCAAGCTGTCTCATGAAAGGACTTTCCAGATAAGAAAAATAAAGATTGAGCAAAGGAAGTCCAGCAGCCGTTCGCCACTAAGGCAATGGTGTGTCGTTCCAAACCACATGTTCTCAGTCCATGGTGTCACAATCACCAAACACCTACGAAATATAAGTGCCTCTATGGGAAAAAGTGACCTTAATGACATACTATATCATATTTTTACTTGAAATTCTCCAGAATATTGCTTCATCTTTTCTTGCCTTTACTTCATCATAGTGTCTGGCTCAAATGATTTTAATTTTTGGGGGGGAGGAAGCGGGGTGGGGTGGTTAGAGATAAACACTATTCTTTGAGCACCTGGTAATTACCAAGAACTATACTATCTCATTTACCCCTCAAAGCAGTCTCATGTGGTTAAGTATCATTACCTCCATTTTACAGATGAGAAAACTAAACTGGAGTTCAAAGAGGTTAAGCTACTTGCTGAGTCACTCAATAGATAAGTGAGGGAGTAGGATTCAGGCCCTGCTCTGGCTGATTGCTAAGCCTGGCCTCTTCCCAGTCTACCTTAGAAAAATGATTCAAGGCTGGTAAGAGCCAACACTGAGGACTGACATCTCACATGGAGTAACTCGTCTAAGTCTCACAATAAACCAAAGAAGTAGTTGCTGTTATAATCATTTGTGTTTTGCCGATGATGAAAATGAAACAGAGAGAAGTTAAGTAACTTGCCCCCAATCACACAGTTAATGAGGGGTAGTCTGGGATTCAAATTCAGTCATCCAGGCAGCAGAGAAGCATGCTCTGAACCACCACTCTATAGTCTTATGAAACTGGAAATCAGAAATGTAAAATTACAGAGTGTGCATGGCGTGTGTGTGTGTGTGTGTGTGTGTGTGTCTGTGTATAGGTATATATATTTTCCAGTTCATATCCTTCTGACTTGTATTATGTGGTTTCAAGGTCATAACCCAAAATGACCTATATCTTCATGTGTACCCGTTACCAAAGCACCCTGTATATCTCCATGTGTAGTACTCACGACATCTGTAATGTGCTCATCGTTTGTTTGCACGGTGAAACTCTACTTTTCTGAGAGCAGGTACCGTCTGTCTTGTTGATACCGGTTCCCTAGAGCACAGTGAATGACCAAATGAGCAAATGAATGGCTGCATGCTCAAGCTGTCAGTTTTTGTTTTTTGGGTTTTGGGGTTTGTTTTTTTTTGCTGCAACAGATCATTAAATTCTTCAGTTGCCTTACTCTGCCAAGCTGTGTTCTGTTCTAAGTAATTATAAGAACTGTTTCATTTAATCACATTGGGCAAGTACTACCCATTTTACAGATGAGAAAATAAGGCATTGTGGGGTTCAAAGGCCCCAGGAACTGTCCAAAGTTAGAGAGCACCAAAACAGCAGAGACAGGAGGTAAACACAGGCAGTGTGAGTCCAGGGTCCATGTCTGTAAGACGATGGGCAACCCAGCCTTCATTCTGCTTGTCCACAGCTTTATCCCAGGACCCAGGACAGTGCTTGGCACATAGGAGATTCTCCATAAGTATATTGAAAGCTGGAAGAAGAGAATCTTCTCGTGTATCCATGATGACAGTTTAAGGCCATTTCCCACCTTTTAATTCATTCATGGAATTGTGTATGTTGCAAATTCTGTTCATATGATCTATGGTGCATCATATTAGATAATAGATTACCAGAGAAAGGTATATACCCAAAGGTTGGCTTTTGAATTCAAAAGTACCAGTGAACTCAATTTCTTCTTCT